CGTCGGAGTGTTGAGAAACAGTTTATACTCGTATACTCTTTAGAGTTTTGAGAAGCAGTTTATACTCGTATACTCTTTGGAGTTTTGAGAAGCAGTTTATACTCGTATACTCGTCGGAGTGTTGAGAAACAATTTATACTCGTATACTCTTTGGAGTTTTGAGAAGCAGTTTATACTCGTATACTCTTTTGGAGTTTTGAGAAGCAGTTTATACTCGTATACTCGTCGGAGTGTTGAGAAACAGTTTATACTCGTATACTCTTTGGAGTTTTGCCGTTCTTAATTGGCTTACCCTAGCGTTATAACGCCGGCTTCAACCAAGGTCTGAATGCTATTCTTGAGAGCAAAGCAAGCCTTGGTGGGATGAACGACCCTCCTGTGGTATGCACAGTACTTTGGGTCCGTAGTGTTGTTAGCTTCCTCCTGATTTATGACGGGCGGGAGCTTGATTTTGTTGTTTTCGAGAAGGGTCTCGAAGATAGCTGGAACGTCTTCGTCTTTGAACGAGTACTCGTTTTGGAGCGTCTCGTCCGAATTCTCCTGTTGTTCCCAGGACTGCTGTTGTGACGTTTGATCATCGTCAATAACCGTTGCAGGTACGTCCTCTTCATCATGAGGTATGAGATCCGAATCCGGAGGATTAACCATCGGTTGGTTTCTCTCGATCTTCCGCCTTCTGATGAAGCGTTCAGCTTGTTCTCCTCGAGCCTTCAACTCTTTCCAGGTATTGAGCGGCTCTATTCCCATCACGTCCAAGATGTTAATGGACAAGTTGTTCTGACAAGTCTGCAAGAGGAATTCCTCCGTGACGGGATCCCTGCAGTTCATTGCCTGATTGCGGAAGCGCTTGATGAAGGTATCCACCGACTCTCCGCCTTTTTGTTTCTCATTGAAGAGTGTCCTGATCGACACCTCGGTGTCATCATCGAAGAAATGGGCGAGAAACATGCTTTCCAAGTCCTCCCAGCTGTTGATGCTTCCGGGCTTGAGACGGCGGTACCAATCGAAAGCAGGCCCGCGAAGGGTGCCAACGAATGACCGAACCATCAAAGGCTCGTTGCCCGAGATCACCCCCAAGTGGGACTTGAAATAAATCAGATGCTGAGTGGGCGAGCCCTTCCCGTTGAACGGCGTGAAGTTGATTAGGTTGAACTTTGCCGGATACGGGATCGAATCCCACCCTTTCGGGTAAGGACACGGAATGCCGGTCTTCTTCACTTCCCGAGCAGACATCAGGGCTTCAATTTTTCTTTCAAGCTCTTTCATCTTCTCGGCCTGATCTATATCCTGTTTTGGACAATTGTTAAGAGGAATGATACGGCTACCCCCAGTGTTATCATCACTGGTGGGTCCACCCCCAGCGTTGTTATCTTTAGTGGGGCTACCCCCAGTATTTTTAGGCGGTACGTCGGCCATGATGATTTCGTCCACTTCCGGCTCGCTGTCAATTACGGCGTTCTGGGTGCGACGACTGGATTCAATTAGTTGAGTCGACAAAGCTCGGATCTGTTGGTCGTGCATTTGTCTCATCTCTTGCATAGCCATTTCCATTTCGAACTTGAAGATTTCCTTCTGCTTAGCCAGGGCCTCTTCAATGACTTTGGCTATCTGCTCGGTGTCGACCATGAACACTTCTCGAGCTTGCCCTATGCTAGACGTTGTATCGTCAGAGGCGAGAGCAGAGTAAGAATCTGAGAGTTCATCATCGGAATGGACTTCTTCATGGATCCCATGGTCGTCGTTATCTCCGACGGCCTCTAACTGAAGTTGAGCTATTCTCGCATTGACTCTGCTCCCTAGAGAGAAATTAGGGTTGGAACCACTTGAAACAACTGGGGATTTTCCTTTGTTGACCATGTTGATGGTAACTTTTGGGAATTCATCATCTCGAGCAACCGATCCTTTTTGGTGGAAATGCCCTTATTTGGGCTTCGTTGTTCCATCGAAGATTCCCTCGAATATCGAGACCCTCTGCGGAACGGTCTTGGGGCAGCTACATGTTGATAATACTGCCCTGATAAATTTGGTACACGGACAGTGAGAATCCGCTTCCCGGGTGTTTCTCTTTCGAGATTCATTCGCACCCCCAGCCTGATAGTACAACTCACTGACGTTGCAGTCGGAGTAACCTATCGGCTGCTCGCATGGGTTCTCAGGTATAACGCGTTCGTCTGTCCGACGCGTTTTCTTCTGAGTAAACGTTGCCTTGTTGGCCCCTGCAAGAGTCGCACGTTTGGAATCACACCTTTGTGAGGGTGAAACCTTAACGGGCTCTTGGTCTTTTGCACGCACCGCCAAGCTGGCCGTTGCAGGAATCTGTTTGTTAGGAGGTCGCGTACGACCCCCAGTCCGGGTGTTGGCTTGCAGCTCGTTCAATGATCTCCATCTCCCCTTATCAAGCGCTTTTCCTCGATTCTCGGGTAGAGTGTCGATACGACCCTCCAGAGGAATCCTAAGCTTGGTGAAATCTCCGATGCGGTGGGGATTCATCGGAAGTTCGGGATCTGAAGTTGACGAAGGCCGAAGAGCAACGTCGCCTGGTTTTGCCTTAGGCGTTGATTTGGCCTTTGGCACCCAAACTCGTGTGGATCTCGGCGATCTCTTAACTGCCTCTTCCTTTTGCATTTCTCGTGCTTTTTGCACCAGGGCTCGGGCATGCGCACGCAAAGCGCGGCTCTTCTGGATTCGTTCCTCGAGAGTAGGACGGGTTCTCTTGACATGAACCCATTTGATCGTTTCTGCTTTGGAGGAGGGGCTGGTTGTTTGCCGTTGTTGCTCTTGGCGATGTCTGGACTTGAGATCTTCATTGTAGCGGATGCCGTCCATTGGCTCCAAAGCCTTGGCCAGCTGACGAGCAAGGCTTTGACGCCGTCTTTGTCGTGCTCTCTTTGACAATGTTGGAGCGTCTTCAGTAGCCATCTCCTCGGCGGAGGAGAAGTCCGGATCTGCGATCTCGACCACGTTGGACGATGCGGGGACGTCACGTGGTGCAAGTGCAGAGGAGAAGTCCAGATCTGCGATCTTGACCAGGTTGGACGACGCGGGGATGTCACGTGGTGCAAGTGCAGCGGCGGCAACGGGGTCTTGGATCTTCGAGCCGAAGGATTCTTAGTATTAACGCCAAGGGCTAATACTAAGGATCTGACGGGGAATGGGTGATGAAGACTGATGTAGACCTCTCCTCCTTGGTTGAAGCGCTCGACCACTCTTTGCTGCAGCAGGGCTTCGCCAAGGCTCTCCAAAAAATCCTCTCCCCTCTCTCTAGCCTTGCTCCAAGACCAAAGATTTCTAGCCCTTTGAATGAGGACCCAAGGGGTCTATTTATAGGCCAAGAGGAGTGAGGGGGGGTAAAAAAATGAGGACACCCCTTGGGGTGTCTCGGCCAGGCCGAGCTAGCCTTGCTCCAAGACCAAAGATTTCTAGCCCTTTGAATGAGGACCCAAGGGGTCTATTTATAGGCCAAGAGGAGTGAGGGGGGGTAAAAAAATGAGGACACGCCGTTGATTCGTCGTCCCAACTCGGATTTAATTGATTTTGGATGCGTTGGAATTCTGACGAAGAGCTCTGTCAGCCCCCATGGTTGAATTATCAGTGGGGTGAACGGGACACGAAGGGCGCTGCTTCTTTTGCAGCGGTCGCGGGGTTCCCGATCAATCCGTATCCCCGTTGTTCTGAAGTTCTGTCGGTTCACATAGCTCGTTGATTTGCTTCAGGCGTTTACCGACGTCAATCGAACTCTTGCGAACCGGGTAGTTACGTTCATCGCGTCGGTAGCGATGCCGTTGGCTCCCACTGTGGTCGCCAGCTTGTTTGCGGAAAAAGTTGTTGTATTCATTGCTGCATTCATTACAACTTCGATCGTTACAATGAAACAAAAAGATAGCCTTTTTATAAGACTGGTACACAATGAAAACAAAAGAAATACAACTCCTTTCAAACAAATGCAAGATCTGTTTATCATCTCTTGCTTGCGTGGGTCTTTGGCCTGTGACGGGGACGTTGATATCCGTGGACCACCGGGGCAATCAGATCTGATCCGGATAAATCGGACAGAGCTTCGTCGATCCGCGGGAGATCTAGAAACTTCTGATCCAGAAAATCGGACAGAGCTTCGTCGATCCGCGTGAGATCTAGAAGCTATAAGCGTCTATCTCGGCTAAAGCGAGATATGAGCTCTTGGGCTAATACTAAGGCCAAGAGGGAACGGGTGATGAAGGCGCTGATGTAGACCTCTCCTCTTCTTGTTGAAGCGCACGGCCACTCTCCACTGCAGCAGGGCTTCGCCAAGGCTCTCCAAAAAATCCTCTCCCCTCTCTCTAGCCTTGCTCCAAGACCAAAGATTTCTAGCCCTTTGAATGAGGACCCAAGGGGTCTATTTATAGGCCAAGAGGAGTGAGGGGGGGTAAAAAAATGAGGACACCCCTTGGGGTGTCTCGGCCAGGCCGAGACACCCCTTGGGTGTCTCGGCCAAGCCGAGACACCCCTGGGGGGGGTGTCTCGGCTTGACCGAGACACCCCTGGGGTGTCTTGGTTTTGCCAAGACACCCCTCGGGTGTTTCGAGCTCGCCGAGATACTCTTGGGTGCCCCAGTTCAGTCCGAGGCTCTGCCGTTGTTCCGCCGTTGACTTTTCGTCCCAACTCGGATTCGAGTGCTTTTGGATGCGTTGGAATTCTGACGAAGAGCTCGACACTGTTCTAGAGATCGTAAAATGCACCATTGAGCATGGTGGTCAGCTATTATCTTTTTATTTCTTGTTTTCTACCTAGCAAGGAGGCTTGTCTGAAATAATAGCGCAAATTATGTGATTACTGTGACAATCTTATTCTGTCCTGTTGTGTTGGAACCTTTTCCTTTCCTGGCTACTGTCTCTTATATGTTCTCCATGAATTGACTAACCAACCCAATAACAAGGGGATGTCTAGTTTAGTAGGATAAGCCATCTTTCCAGCTTAGTCACATGCATTAAGATTTGTCCTTTACAATTCTACTATCTCAGACCATGAGTCAGGCAGGATTCTGCTCTATAGGGGTATTATTAGGTTGTATGACATGTTGTGGAAGCCAATCTCTTGCAACAAATCCATAGCAGACGTTTTGTAAGAGGGTACAATCTCTTATTGTGGACATCTTTAATACATAAATGTAGTAAGAAACCCCATTTCTAGTAGCAGCCTGCTTCTTGTGATACGGTTTTTATTTTAATCAATTCCTGTAGTCTCACCACCTGACCACTAATATGATTTACACAATAAGGATCACAATGTTAAATAATCTCCCTTGGACAAAAACAAAGTAGTCAACATGATTGTGCCTAAAACAAAACCAATAACCACCTGGCTTAAATTTTCATGCCAAATATGAGTATACCACTTACGACCGTCAGTTGAGCCCCCCTAACGAATAAAACCCAAAGGTTGCTTCATGTACACAAGATCACTATTGAATAAGGCATTCCTTACCATGGAGGAAGTCATGCTGATTTCTATCTACCGATCTTTATTTTGTTCCCATATATGACTTATTTGAAATATTAAAAAAAAAGAAGGATTCAATTTCTCATACCTTTCCATGTAGATTGATTTTTTTATTGGTGGTCAGACCTTAGAATAAAAAAATATTAACTATCTTTAACTAACCATTTTAAAACTATTGATATGATAACATTTCTGCATTCATTATGGTTTGATAATAAACCTAAAAATTTTCAAGCATTTCTTTTTCAGGTGAAGGTTCATGATGGATATGTTTATTTTCTCTTCGACAGTAGAACATCTTCATTTGCTTTGTTTCGTGGGAAAACTGGTGCGACGCTAAAACCATATCAAACATCTGACAATTTCATTGCTACTGATTATGTTACTGTAGAGAAGTTAAGGAAATTGTCACTCGAGCAATTTGATGGTGCAGGTAGGTACGAGGCAAAATTGTTTCCCACTTTTGTTTGTATTGCAATGTATGTGCCGGGTTGAAATTTTGCTTGGCTTTTGGCATTGTTTGAACACTGTTTTTCGTTTATTTACTATAATCTTATATATTTTATCATAACCTTTCTCATAAGTGGCATTGTTGCTTCATTCACAAATATTTCCAGCAAGGTTCAATTATCATGTTCCATGACTTTTACACCTTTTATGTGAAAAAATAGAGGAAAACAAGGACGAGGACAATGAGGGTAACAGCATCGGTTGTTTTTGCCCTCCTCTCATCACCTCAGTTAAGAGTGCCTCCTCACAAAAGATATTTAAGATCATCCCAAGTAATGCCTTTGAGCTCATAGGATGGGTGTTGCATACTTAGTTTTTCTTGACATCAGAAATATGATTTGTCTATGATATTGGCATCACTTTTCTTGTTTTTGGGATTCTTCTTCTGATCTGTTGTCTTTGTTATTGAGGTGCACCTACAAGCCTATTTTTGGTACAGAATATCAAAGTTGGTGAATCTTTCGATCTGGTATGCAAGGTAAGCATTTCGTAAAATATGCTATAACTTTTACACTTTAAGAAAAGTTGTGAACGGAAATTAAAAGACGTTTTTGTTGGTTGTATCAAAGGTTGTTCACGTGCATGAAATTTCTGAAGAGGAATGGATGCTTTTCATCTGGGATGGAACTGATGCTCCTATGACTTTTCAAACAAAGTAAATATTACTTTATCATTATTACAGTTACTTTTTGTTACTTTCAAATAAATCCATGATTATTTCTCAAATTTATGAATCTTCGGCCATAGTACTAAATTAGCATGCTTTCTTAGCAATCATCGTGTTCACGGAAAGAAAGAAAATGGTTTGTTTATGGGGGTATGCAACTTTAACAAGTGTGCATTATGAAAGGATTAGGGTTGTTAAGCTTATTCGGTTCAGTAATTGAGGTCATTTCCATAATTGAACATGTTTAGCATACATGTCTGTGGATAGCTAAAATTGGGGATTAGAATAGTATATAATTTTTGTATCTACAAGGAAACATTTTATTTGATAACAAAAGAAAGAAAGAGAACTACTTCCTTCAACAAAATTGTGATAACGTAGTGACAATTCTACTTGGATTAAATAGTGAAAATTCAAACTTCGCACTCTTTAAGTTTGAAGCGATAGTGGCTTAGAGGATGTCGTGAAACTTGCAAATAAGTCTATTAAGAAAATGCTAATTATTATAGTTGAAAATATGAAAGAAGCTCATAGAATCAATTAGCAATCATTGTCTCTTTTTATCTATTGGGACGCTAGTTTTGTTGATCTTGATCATTCAGAGCATAAATTGGATCAAAGCTTGAGGTAAAGTGAATTAGGTATTTTTCTAAAACAAGTAAATGAATCATGCATCTAACGTGTAACAGGTAACTAATCGATGAACGAGCTGTATAACCTGAAAAATGAAGTAGCTGAAAAACTATAAGCCATGCTCTCTTTTCCAATTTTTCTTCCTTCTTTTCTTTTCCTTCTTTACATTGCTTGTTCCTCCAATTCTTATTTCTATTTCCTACTGCTCCTGTCTTCTTTTTCGCTTTCTTATATACTTCCCTCATGCATCGTCCTCCTTCTCTTCTTTCCACTCTTTGTTGGCTGCCAAAATAGAAAAACTAAACAGTAGGTCTAATAGCTTATTCCTTTTTCTTAGTATTTTCATCTTTTCTTCTTATTGCTTTTTATTTGTTGGTTGAGAATAATATGTATTGGGTCTCATTTCTTCTTCTCTGAGCACAGTTTAGACCCGGTAAAGGAAAATCCGTCCCTTTTACACAGTGAACCAACATCTTTGTCAGAGGAGACATTATCCTTATTTCCATGTCTGGGAACTGTTTTGAGGATATCTACTGGCAAGTTTTTTGAAGACCTCGACTGTTTTCCAGTTGAGGGCAATTGGGTTAAGTTATACAATGTGTTGTGTGAGCTTCAATCAGATATTTGGACAGGTGTTATGAATTCTGATAGCAGAATTTTTATTCTGTCTGATGAGGATAGGAATGTGAAATACCGTGAAAGGTGACTTCTTATCACAAACTGATTTTTTTTACCTCTATGGATCTAAATTTCTGACTTAACATTTTGTCAATACAGGGTTTATGGTGAACGTGTAGCATTTAATATTGGACAGATTCCTTTGTCAACTTCTCTGGACTCTGCCTGTATAACAGGTTTAGCTTCTTATAAACTTAAATTCTGCACTTCCTGGTTCTTTGTAGGAGGTTTCCTTGATCCTTTATGATGATATATGCTATTTCTTGCAATTAATTGATTTGTAATTCACTATGCATCGAAAACACCTAATACTGGATGTGGACAAATACTGTGTGCAAATGCATTGTTACACACAACTGTTTCATAAGTCATTTTGATGCTAGGTTATGTACCAAACCTGCCTTCCGTTTATGTAACATATTTCTACTTCTTTGTGTGTGTGAGCGTGTGCCTGTGATGGAGAGAGTGGTATAGTACATGTCAGCATATATGAGTTTTAGGGAGATAAATTGCCGTGACAATCAGATTATGGGTTTCAGTTGGTCTTCCTTTCATACAATTAGAAAAAGTTGTAGCTCACTACAAAACGGGAAGTTGTCTTGTTGCTTCTGTTTAGAGTAGCATAATACTTGAAGCTTAAATAGTTGCATAGAACTTGAACATAAGTTGATAAACACCTTATTTGCTTGATTTCCATGAAATATACTCTGCAAAAACTGATAGCCCATAAAATCTTATGATACAAGTTTTATGGAGAAAAAGTTGAACATAAGTTGATAAATGCCTTATCTGTTTGATTTCCATGAAATCTATTCTGCAAAAACTGATAGCCCATAACATCTTATGATCCAAGTTTTATGGAGAGAAAAATAGTTAGCCCCTCCCAGTAAAAACTGAAAATTGGATTTAATAATCATGTTTCGAGAAAATTATGTGGGTAACAAACAGATATGTTGAGATATAAAGGGAGAATTATGAAAGTGCAAAAATATGTGAAATAGTTTTTCATATTGTATGCACTGTTTCAAAAAACCTCCGCCTAGTCCGCTTAGGCGTACGCCTAGGCCTAGACGGTACCTAGGCCGCCTAACTAGCGCCTAACGCCTAGGCGGTATTTAGGCTGCCCACCTAAATTTTACGAGTGTTTAGGGGAGCATTGTCTGCTTACGTGGATTGCACCCTGTAGACCTTGATTGTGATTTTATGTGTCGTAGTCTACACGTCCTCCAAACTCCATTAACCTCTAAATATGAACATCTTCACTACCTCCTCCGACCTTCAGCAAAACCTCATCGATCACCACTTAAATGAAGAAAGAAAAAAAACGCCCAGAAACCTCTTAGGCGCCCGCCTAGGCGACTAAGCGCTGGGCGCCAAGTCCGACGCCTAGAAGCGCCCAACGTTTAATGTAACATTGTCAAGCATTATAAATAAATAAAGAGCTCACCCCATTAAGTTAACCCGGAGGTGATGACTGAGCTCGGTGAAGAGCTCATACATCTGACCAATATCAGCAGCGTTTCCATGCGAGTAAAGCACCGTGAGCCTCGCCAACGGATTCCTCACGTACATCACAACGATCTCAGTCCCTCTCTTCGTCTTAACTCTCCTCACATCGACGTTCTCCTTCACGGAGACCCCCGTGACCGTCACCACCCCGATCAAATCCTTCTCCTCGATCTCATACGACGGTGGATTTGGCGGGAAGAAGGCGAACTTCGACGCCAGCGACGAGGTCACTCCCCCCATATCGACTGCAGCTAGGGCGTCCAAATTAGGGGCAGGAATGGGGTTCGCTGCCGCATCTCGATTTAAGAGAGATCCGCGAAATTAGGGTCAGGGCTAGGGTTAGAGCTTGGTTTGGGGTCGAGGAGAAGGGGGAAGAAAATGGGATGCATTTATTGGCGGTGGGTTAATTTTTTATACGAAAAAAAAAGGGGAAATAAATTTGGGGAAGGTTGGGAGAATCGGAGAAAGGAGAAGGAATCGGATTTAAAAGGGTTTTAAAGTGAAAGGGAGGGAAAGAAATAGGAAGGGAGAAGAAGAAGCACGTGATCCCGTCTGTAGCTCACGTGTTTTTACGGGAATTCGCGATGGCTTTCCTAATGGCTGTTTGGATGCCTCCAGGAAACTAGAGTATTTATGACACAAAATAGAAAGTGATTATCCACCTCACCACTTTCAATTCGAGTGTTTACATTGTTTGGTTAGGAATCTTTGTGAATCCTAAAATAATAGTATTACATTGTTTGCATAGTATAATGTAAACTAGAGTATTTATGACACAAAATGAAAAATGGTTATCCACCTCACCACTTTCTACAAGGTTTTAACTTTTTTATTATTATTTTTTGACACATTTATGACATTGTGTAAGCTTTCCAACAAAATCATTCCTAATTTTGGTGATTTTGCTTTCAATGACACCTCATCAAAAGGTGTAAACTTTTCATGTAAAAGAGAATTTAAACAAACAATGTAAAGTGATGAAAGCTGACATTGGGACCCACTTTTTTACATTTTTCATCCTTTTACATGATAAAAACATACAACCAAACAGCCCCGCGTCGCTTCCTCTCGGGGCAGGGGAGTCACCAGACGAGTTTGGTCAAATGTGCGTTGTTGTAGCAACAAAAAAAGTCTACAAAAGTGTTTAGTTTGATGGTGTCACAAATCTCAAAGTGTTGTTGTAGCAACAAAAAGTCTTAAAAATAGATTACTTACTACCACATTCAAAATAAGTTGTGCTGCGACAGCAAAAGGTGCAGCACTTGTTTTCTTTTCGTCTATGTAGTTTTGAGATAACAAAATTGTATTCCAACTTCAGGATAAAAAAAACTCTAGATATAGTCCCTCTCCACACGTAAATATTATTAAACCGCAAAACCTTTTACCCTCTTTTTTTTTTTATTAATAACTGAAATATGCACATATTGTATAGATCTAACAATATTTTGGATGAAAATCAGAGAACACAGCCTAATGAGCTCCTAAGTTTATCTCTCTTTGCTATAAGCACTCAACTTTCTATTTTTGAAAAAGAAGCCCCTAAGTTTTGCTTCACTCTACAAAAGAAATACAAGAAAATAAATTCTACAAAGAAATAATAATAAAAGAGTATGAAAGTAAATCTACACTAAAAGGAATGAATTAAATCTAGTACACTAACATAAAAATAAAAATAAAAATCCTAAAATATGAATTTCTAAAACATGAAAATAAAAGAGAAAAATATAAACTTACATTGCAAGGTTGGCCTTTTGAAAGCAACTCTTCATATTCATCTTCGTCAATAAAAAGGAATAAAAGAAAATTTAAAAGGAGGAATTTTTTATTTATTGTAAATAAAACGTTTATAATTTTAGAAAGTCTTCTCAATTAAGAGTAACCCTCCTTTCTAAATGGAGTTTTTATAATAAAAAAAATCACACGCAAATCCTTCACCATCTACCCCTATTTATAAGCTACAACAATTAACAAGGGCCATTAGACTTGGCTTGAGCTCCAAGAAATAAGTCTTAGTCATATATTGCTTCTGTTATGAACCAATTGGTTGGCCAATCAGTTAGCCAAACGGTTAGTTGACCAATTGGCCAATCAGTTAGCGTATCGATTGGTTTCTAACAAAATTAATTCCTTAGTTAACTCGTTGACTCGATTTTTTCCTAATTCCTTGGGCTTTTGTGGGCTTCCTCTTGACTTGATATTCGACTTCAACAGCTAGTAGGAAAAATAAGAGAATTTGGTTCTTTTAGGCTCTTATTCAATTATTCTTCACTTCCTACAAATTAAAAGAACGACACATGAATAGTGATATATTTATTTAAATAAAATAGATAATGATCATATAAAAGTGTAATAAAATGTGATGATCAGCTAGGGTCAAATCTGACCTCTTCCTCATGCTGCGACAAATCTTATGGTAACTCCTAGTGATAGCTATGAATGATTTGTCAAAGTAAATGAACTCCTTAAACTTTGTTTGGTCAAATTCAATGATCAATGATTTAACAAAAGATCCTAAGGCTTTAGTATCGGACTACGACACAATTTTCTCTTCAGTTGAGAATAAAGTCCCTAGTGAAGTCGCTATCTAGTTTAGGGTCTTAAAATTACAATTGACTCAAGATTACAATTTTAAGAAAAACAAGAAAAAATTATTTTAAAGCAGGGTTCTTTTCTACGCAACGATGAAGCATCGATCTTGTACTCTGTTGATGGTTCGAAGTATGGACGAATGGTCTTCTTGCTAATTTTATAAAGGTCGTCAAAGTTGAGCCGAGATTGATTTATCTCTAGATGAGAAGATGCTAAGATGACAACATGGCCAAAAATGAGCAATCTTGTGACGCCCTTGGGTTCACACAAGGCTGCAGTCCAAGGTGAAACCAAGAATGTCAAACCTGCCATGCACCACACCGTGCAATAATATGTTTCACCATCACAATTACTATCTCTCTAGTAGAGTCAAATAACAGGTGTAGGTACAAAAGCAAGTAAAAGATAATACAAGAGTCAACTGATGAAATAATAGAGATCAAATTAATATTTCATCATCTAACATACTGAAGTATAAGTCAATGTCTGAAACGAGTAAACTGGAACTTCTCAACAAGTCTCAAATACAAATGTCTAAATAAAAGGAAATAAGGCACACAGCCTTTACAACTTCTAGAAATAAACTCTCAAAATATCTAAACAAAAGCCTACAGTGGAGCTCAAAAGTAAAATATAACTATAATAAAATAACTGAAGCTAGAGTGCCTCGCCATCAACCTGCGACTCTCCGGGCTCCTAGCTCGTTACCTGAAAGGGGGAGGGATAACGAGCGTCAAAGCGCTAGCGAGCAACATCACAACCAACCCCAAGGGAAAAGGGCTCGTTGTATACAGAAAATACAGTTATAACATATATATATAATCACAAAATCCTATTTAGGTAATTACAATGTGAGCATATGTACGTCGAGCGAAATAATCCAAACAAGGAAACCCTCATATATATACCTTGTATCTCAAATTGTAAATACCTATGTATAAGAGGATTTTAGTATTTAGGAAGTTACAACACGAGCATAGATACGTCGAGCGAAATAATCCAAACAAGGAAACCCTCATGTATATACATTGTATCTCAAATTGTACATCCCTAAATACCAAACCCAAAATCTAATTCAAGAACATTAATAAAAGAAGGCAAACTCATCTCAGACTTAATTACGGTGTCGTGTCACAACTCATATAAATGTCGTGTCCAGCCTATGCAAGTATATGTGTCAACTCTCAAGGTCTAAACTGATGTAGTGGATGTCCAACACATGGACTGCATATGAAAATTGTCCAACACATGGACCGAAAGTGATAAATGTCTAACACATGGACTACACATCATAATTGCCCAACACATGGACTAGATGAGTTATAGGAACAGGTGCATATACCCTAATTTCTCACGTGTCTCGGTGCGCAAACCTAAACTCGTGTCCGCATGTCATCTCACATGCAAAGATACAGGTTATACATAAATTTCTAGTACCCGTCATTTGAGGCGACTCCTCGTTCGTATTTAAGCACGCAGACACTATATCCAGATTCGTGCATGTTTTGTTATTTAGCCAAAACCAATGCACAGAACTCTATGAAACCACACTCATACATATCTAATAACTTGTTACCAAGTATATCCATGACCTTAAGTCATTTACCATAAATAGAA